AAGGGTAAAACCCGCAACTAATTTGTAGCAGGCAATGTTTTCTCTGGCAATCACATAGCTTGTTTGGTCTTAATGAATATTTCCTTTTAGGACAATAAATTAATACTGCTTCTAGCCAAATTAACTCATTCATTTGAGTAACAAAAATATACTTTCTATAAATCATTGGTGATTTTTTCCATCACTTTTTAATCTTTGTAAAAGTTACTTGTCTTCTTACCTTTTTTATTTTGCCAAAAATATATTTTTCTTCTTTATTTCTAGAACTAGTCCAACTCTTATGTTTCTTAATATTTATTATATATATCTATTAGTTTATCAGCCCCTGTGCACTGTTTCTGCAAGGTACATAAGCACATGCGTAAGTGCTCATGTAGTTAGATATGCAGTATAAAATCATCTATCTTTAAATCATCAAGTAAGGTTTTACAGATTTCCCTCTTTATTCAGGGAAACTAATATGACTAAATTAATCTTCATTAAGCTAATTTCTGAAACCCAATATAATAACTCTGTATAATATTTATACCTCTCCAAATGTGAAGTACAGCACAAGGAGAAAGAGAACTACAGTATACTAAACAATCTACAGTTTATGAATGTAATATTTGCCTCTGATTTATTTACTTTTTCCCAGTAATAACGTCTGACACCCATCCTCCTGTCTTCTGAATTTTGTGCATTAGGGTCTCTGCCTTGACTTTTCATAAACCTTTTCTATTTTTGTCCATTTAACCAATATTCTTATTTTATTTTCACTGAAATACATAACGAGTATAAGAGGTATAATTTCAGTCTGGCAAAGAGCTGTAACACAATGGCCCACTCCCCTTGTTCTCCAGCTATTTTGGGAAATCCAACAATTTCTAATTCTGCTTTTAATTATTGGCTTGCTTTTCCAAATTTTGCACTTTATTTTGTAGGGCCTAACACAGGCATCTGTCTGTATGATGTAAACTACCTGCAAAAAGCAGTAGACTTTGAGAATTCTGGATAATATGGCAGCTAATTTGCATTCTTTTAGTGGTATCAATGTAAAAACATTATAATACTTAATATACTTAAATATTTATACTACTGAAGTATTTAATACTTTTATGTTACTTGCTATGGGGTTTTTTTATATTTCCTCAGTCTATGTGATCTCCTTAATATGTTTCATTTTTAGGGAGTCTCAGGGTATTCACACTTGAATAAATTAATTGGCTGTTTGATTAATCTGTCATGTTTTCACCTTCATTTTGTGTTTTAAAAGATTATAGCTTTAAGAGCAATTTTGTTGCTGTCAGACTTCTACTGAGTGACTGAACGTCCAGAGCAAATGATAACAGATTTCTACTATTGCCTTGAATATAACATTCATCATCCCTTTCCTGTTGCAGAAGTTGTGCTTTTGTTGAACATTGTCCTCCATGACATTTTTAAGGCATTTTTAAATTTCTGCTTAAATATTCACCCTTTCTGATCACATTTATTTTAAAGTCATGAGGTTATCCACTCTTTCTCTTCAAATTCCTTCTCTAAATTTTAGACAGAGAGCAAAATTTCTGTTCTTTCATATGTTAAGTTGTAAGGCTGCTGAGCAAAATATTTCCACAGATTTTACAATGATAAACCACAGTCCTGCAAAACCCAAATCATGTTTACCTTTAAGCATGCTATTAAGCTAGCTATTATTATTTAAGCCAATCTTATAACATGCAGATGTCTCAATGGTCTTTCAATCTCTTAAAGTTTAAAGTAGGAATAAAAGATCAGTTTTCATTTTGAAAGAATTTAAAGAATCCAATCTTTCATTCTCTTACAGTTTAAAGCAGGAATTTAAGGTCACTTTTAAATTGACAGAAAGCCAATGCAAAGCAAGACCAGGAGCTACAGCTACAAGGGTAAATGACCAAATTTATTTGCAGTTAAAAATTTATTAGCAGGAATTCTCCTGAATAAAATACAGTACACAGCGATTCCTGCTTCTAATTCACTAATATAACTATTGTATCCCAGTACATTGTTTAACTATGATTCCAATATAGAATATACAGGTTTTGCATTTTCCATGTTTTTACAATATTTATTTCTAGTTCTATCCACCTATTTCTTTCAAAGCAATGGAATGATGAAAAAGAAAAATATTATTTTTCTGTACAATAAAAGGGAAAAAGTATATGTATGTGACCGTATTATCTGTTACAGAGAAGGATACAAAATCAGAGATTATTACTTCCAGCCTGATGGTTTTAATCTTTGAATTAGTTTAATTCAAATATAATAAAGCATGTCCCTGAAAAAATGCAAATCTAGCAGATTACACAAAGTCTCCTAACATTATTTCAAATTACAGTCAAAATTCAGTAAGCAACAAAAATAAAAACTACAAAATACACTTATGAAGACAATGAAAAAAAATAAAATTGATTATAGTGAATATATTAATGAGTTCATAATATTTATTTTATATACCTAAAAATCCACACACTCCGTAACTACAAAGACACAAAGTGAATAACTACAAGAAAATAATCAAGTATTCAGAATTCTTTAGAAATAATGCTATTTTTAATAACATTTTTTAACAAAAGCACAATTGCTGATGTAATATGTTCAGAATTTCAGTCCCCTGCAGTCTTAAGATTGGGTTTAAACTCTGAGATTTAAAAATGTAAAGGTTTCTTTCTCCTTCTCCTGTTTCTACAAGTTACATTCTTTATTGTTTTGCAGGTTACATTTTTAATCCTTTCACTACAATTATGTTGGCTAGGTTTTTCTTTTTACCTCTTTTATGGACTTCCCATAAGAATAAACTATCCTAGCATAACTGCAATTAAACTAGTAATTTTTCTATCAAGGGTGCCATCACACTCCTAACAATTATAGTGTATTAATACCTTCATATGTATCAGGCTAAGTGACATAGAAAATAGATTATGATAGAAAGGTCCTAGGATTGTACTGTAGCTCTGGACAATCCTCCTCATAATCCAGTTCAATTTAGGTATAAAAGTGGTAAGATACGTTATCGTACAAGCTGATGTTCTGAATGACTTGCATTTTCAAAATCATAACAAGATAAACTATAGAGGAAAGTGTATTTGTAGTGACATATACATGAGATGCAGAACGTAAATTGAGTAGTTAAGACAGTTATAGTAGAAACATGATGTAATATTTTAATATAGTTACATCTGTATAACTCCCATATTTTTTTATTCTTTAAAATCAATTAATGTAAATTAAACCTCTATTTCTTACGCTAATTGATTTTAGTTGTTTGCTTTGGCATGTTTCTTTTTATTCTGTGTGTAAGGATATTGTTTGCCCTTAGCTTTGATCTCTGGAAACCAACCATGAGCTGAAGTCCATTTATAGGGCAGTGAGAAGTTTGAAATGTCAATATTCAACTTTGTTGATAAATATGTATTTTCAGTGTGGACACATTGGCTTATTTCACACGCACTGTCACTTTCTTTAACATAGTAACAAACTTCACCTTAATTTCAATAGTTTCAAACAGGTCAGGAGAGTTACAGAAATTTTAAGGTTAAAAAAATACTAGTGGCTTACATTATCAACATTGTTAATCTAAAAAAATAGTTTAATAATGTTTACATTGATAACTTGATGAGTAGAAAATTGCAAAATTAACTTAGCATTAAAAATCTCATTAAAATTAAGACATTTTAAAATACATCACAGGAGAAACTATGACTCAGATTGTGGGAGAATATAATTATTCAGTATTTCTGTGAATTCTGCAGCTGGCAAAATCAACCACAGTACCCAGGAGAACAGCAAGTGGTGGGACAGTTTAGTTGTGTTTCAGCAGCTGTGCAATAAAACTTACTTCTCTAGTCATAGAAAAGCACCCATTCAAATGACCAAGCCACCCTATTATTGAGAAAAATCAGTGCACATTGTGAAGATTGTGCCTTTTAATTTATTTACATTTCTTTGCATTTTAAAGTGAGTTTCTCCCTAGTAGTTTGTTTATTATACAATTAAAATAATGCAATTTGTGCGTTATTTAGTCAATGCAGGCAAAAAGACTAAACAAAGTACTGTGTTGTATTGGAAGGTAATAAGATTATTAGTGGCAGGTTTCTTTCTAATGGATATAATATTCAGGAAATAACATTCACCTGGAGTGTTGTGCATTTTGTTCTTTTTTGTTGAGATATTTTCTGAGGAGATTCAGATACCAGTTTTCACCTTACCACTCAAGGATGAAGTTTAACAAGCAGAAGTTCTTAAGTTGAAGAAAACCTTAGTTCATGAACAGAGCTGTGAAGCTTGTAAGACTCCTTCCAGAATAAGGACAGATTTCATCATTTATGAGACCTAGACCTGATATTTCATAGTCACTGTATTTCTGCTTGCCAAATCACATAATCCTATCTATTCAGATTCCCCACTGTCTCAGACCACCGGATTGCTCTGGTCTGCTACTTAAGAATTGCTATTTAAGGTATTCCTAGTTTATGACTATAGTATTGTGGTGGATTGGCCTTCAACTGGCTGACCACCTAGCTGTTCTCTCACTCCTCAGCATGACAGGGGAAGAAAATAAGATTAAAAACTCATGTGTCATGATAAAAGCAGCTAAATGAAGGAAAACAAAGGTTGCTCAGGGAAGGAAAAAAAAAAAAAAGAAAACAAAACAAAACAAAAAACAAAACAAAACAAAAAAAAACACAAAAAAAAAAAAAAAAAAAAAAAACAAGCAAACAACAAAAAAAAACAACCAAACAAAATCAAACCAAACCAAAAACATATTCTCTACTTTCCATCAGCAGGTGGGACCTTCCATTAGTCAAGCCACTTCCCCAGATGTAGGGCCTCAGTGCGTGTAGTAGTTGAGTCAGAAGACTTAGTAACAAATGCGCCCCATCCTCCTCTTTTCTCTTAGCTTTTATTGCTGAGCATGACATCATATGATATGGTATGTCTCTTTGGTCGCTTTGGGTGAACTGCCCTGGTTATACCCTATGCCCTCTCCTAGCCTCTTGCCCATCCCTGGCTTTTGGGAGGTGGGGTCTGGGGAGAGAACCTTGATACTGTAAGCACTGCTCAGCAGTAGCCAAAACACTGGTGTGGTACCAACACTGTTCTATCTACTGAGCACAGCTTTATGAGGGCTGTTATGGGGAAAGCGAAATTCATCCCTGACAGACCCAATACAAACATCAGATATTGTCCTTTTTAATGTTCAGATTTAGCAAGTGATTATGATAGCTATAGTGTTAAGAGTGACCACACCTGAAAAGTAAAGATAAAGCTTGAAATAAAAGTTAAAAGTTGAGAATATTATATTGTATATTATAAAAGACCTTATATTTCCCATCCTTCCAGTATAGCTTGTGAACATAATCTGTGCTCCTTATCTTGGGGAGACTTTGGAAGGGACTCTGTTCCACGTCCCTAAGTAAATCAACTATATCAATAATAGAAAATGTAAAAGTACTTCCTAGAAAAATACTAGAAAAATTTACATTAAAAAAAACAGACAAAAGACGGAAAAATGCAAAGAAGGAATTTTACTGCTGCTCTTCTCAGTATAATTGCTGCTAGGTTACCATTGGAGACAGCAGAAAAGCTACCTTTGGAACTTTTGCAGGGTAGCTGATTAGAAATCACAGGGAAAGAGGAATAACTGCACCAGAGAAGAAAACTAAGGTTTTCACCAACTACTTTTATGAGGATTATCACTGTGAAACCATAAAATTTGTCATGGTACCAGCCTGAAATTAAAATGCTAACAGAAGATGATGATGAAGAGTATTGCAACACTGAAGCTGGAACGATTTCAATGGCTGAGGAAGAACCTTCCATAGTATAAGGCAAAATATGCAGAAGGACATGAGAACTAGCAACTCTTAGTAGCAATTCACGGTGCTACCCACTGACAGCAAGTCTTTTCAGATTAACATTTAACGTCTCTAAAGAGAAGCCTGTCAAAATATGTCAGTCATATTTTTTTTGTTAAACGATAAATAGGAAAATAGTCTATCCAAGTCTTAATTGAGGCCCTCCCCAACCTACTGTTGTTTCACAAAGCAAAAGTACCTTGATTTATATTTGATTACACTGTTTGGGAAATGGTTGTCTTTTCTATGTCTCTGTAGAACTATAATGCACAGAGATTATATTTACTGTTACTTTTTCTGACCTTATCTGTACCTTCTTATTTTATTCTCACACATCAAAACACACCTAAACTTAGGGGATGCTACTGGAGTGTGTAAGTGATCTTTCTATATTTCTCTCAGGTTGCTTAACAAAGCTTCTTGATAATAACAATAGAAAAACTATATGTGAGATAAAATTTGGAAATAAAATTAAATTGAGGACAAAATACTATGATTCCTCCCACTCACCTCTGACTGTCTCTTCAAACACATAACATAGGATAAGAAACCAGGGTCAAAAGTGGTACAGGGTGGGATAAGAAGTTTATCTCTGATCTGGAAGATATGCAAGACAGTTTGGACAGATAAACAAGGTATACAAGACACATATACAAAAGCATCATATACTCTGGTCTGCTGAAAAATATAACAAGTAGACAGTTTCAACAGCATTCATAGCAGTACACATATGGATTTTCCAAAATATTTCACTTTTGGAGGTGTCAGACTTATGCTGCTGAGGTTTTTTTTTACCTTCTCAGTGTAAGATTTAAGGGCAACTATTTTATCAAATCAGATCACAAACGTGATTACTTTACATACGTATCTGATTTTTCTCCTGTTATCAAGAATTTCTTATAGCTGTACACAGTATTTGGGAGAGAACTAAAGAATTGTACAAAATGGGACATCCATAAATTTATGAAATAACACAGAATTACCTGTGAAATTCTGCCTTATACACCATGCAAAGGAAAAGACTGAAAGCAGAATTTTAAGTTAAGTTCAGCGTTATGAATCTATCAGTCTTTCCTGGTCTGTGGAACATGACAGATTCTTCTGTGTACTCATTGCACATAGTACAAAAAACATGGCAGTTTACTCCTGTCCAGCATATAGAAAAATACTGTGGCATTTATTTCTTTGTCTTCTTTGAAATGCAATCATGAGGAAACAGAACAATAATATGAGATTAAGCATGAAATTTGATTTTTTAAAAACACACATGTTTTTTATTAAAACTGCTTTTTTAATGCATTATCATGATTTTGAGGTGTATGATTATGTAATATTTTATTATTCATTCAACATTAGGCTGAAACATGCTTTAAGAGAATTGGGAAGAGACGACCAGTAAGCTTGAGAGGAACACTACAGAATAACAATCAGGAGGGGAGGTATTGTGCCTCATTTCCAAACTGATGTTTTCTCAATTTTCCAAGTGAACAACTAATATAACAATAATTTGATTATAATGACTATAAATTCTATATATTCTTTAACTGAATTCTATAATTCTTTAAGTATAATGACACATAAATTCTATGGCAGAAACAAAAACTGAGGCAAATTTCTCATGCGTCCAGTACAGTAGTTAAACACTAACTCATTTACTCTTTTTTTTTGTGGACATCTTGCCACTCTTTGAACAGCAAATACATTTTATCAGACACTTGCTGTTCTTATTAAACTCCATATAACTCTAAATAACAATATAATGATGATATAATATATTCTTAAAGGTGTCCACAGTTCTGGTAGGTTCCTCTGAGGTCTTCACCACATAGTTTTCACGGCTGAAGTGATTATCACCTTTCTGTTTGAAACCGCTCAAGAAACATGTGAACAGTTTTAATCTGTTTCAGGGCTACTGTGATTCATAAATCCTTATTTGGAACTTTAGCATTCTATAAAATTGGTTAATTTTTATTCAACTTTTATACTGTACTTCTGCAATTAAGATTAACTTTAAATTCTGGGATAGAGGTCAACATATCCTAAAAGGTCATATGATATTTCAATAATGTATTTTCAGAAAACCTACATGTTCTCATATTTCCAGAAAATGTGCACTTATATATCTCTTTTCTTCTGCTTTCAGCATTTTATTAATTGTCAGTCAAAATCGAATTTAGATTAAAATTGACTTTAAAACCCTCATTTAGACCCTAGTCCTGCACAGAAGCTTATGGATCCATTATGATTCACAAGCCACTTTTTTTTCAGAGGACACGGTGGTAATTATTCACATTTCAAGAAATTTGTAAATTTTTGCAGGGTCATACGCTTGCACACCTTCTCTTGAATAACAGTGGCAATTCCAGTAAAATACAAGAGAAAAAAAAATAAATCTGTATGAAGATAATCAAGCATTGGAGAAGGTTGCTAACAGAGGTTATGCAGTATCAATTTGAACGTTTTTGAGACACAGGTGTGTACAGCCTTTATCAACCTGGTCTGACCACAGAGTAGATCCTGCTCTGAGCAGGAAGTTCAACCAGAGGTTTCCTGCAGCCCATTATAGCTAGTTATCCTATGACTCAATATGTTGTTATCTTGCCTTGATTTTGGGTTGTTTTTTTGTTTTGTTTAGTTTTGATTTGTTTTTTTCTTTTTCAAGATTTATTTTTAATCCTTCTTTCAAAAAAATCAGATTTTTTTCAACATGTTCTTGGTTCATAGTTCTTGCTAGCCTTTTTTGGTGGTTTAGCCTTGACTAATAACTAAATGCTCACCCAGGTGCTTCCTCCTTCTCAATTATCAGTGGCACAGGGGAGAGAATAAGCTGATGAAGCTTACTGGAAATTGCTTAGCAATTACCACTGTGGGCAAAACAGACATGATTTAAGGAAAATTAAGTTAGTTTATTGAGAAATAAAATGGATTCAGGTAGTGAGGAACAAGAAGACAAACATCAAAACACCTTTCCACCTCCTGCTTCCTCTCTCACCTTGGTGCTCAGAGCACTGTTTCTCATACTTTTCTTTTTTATTTGTTCACTCCTCTCTCCACCTAGTGATCACTGTTTGCAACACCCATCCAATCAGATGTTAATTTTTGGAAGACAGAAATTATATTCCCTAGTTTTTAGCAACTGTTGTGGAATTCTGTCAGCTGAAACAGTGATGGCTATCAGCCTTGACCAGTAGAAGTGATAAGGAAGTTTTAGATATTAATGATTTTAATCTCTCTGTAGTCTTGTGTTTGAAGTTCCATTCATTTAATAATCATTTAGATACAGCCATACCAAATCCATCTTTAAAATTGTAGGTTATTCTTGACATTAAATTTAATGACTGATTTATATTGTCTGGGGAGTCTTGTTAAAAGATAAGATAAAAATCCAGTAAGGATAAAAAAATTATCTTTTACATACATGTGAAATACATACTCAGTTCCTGACCCAAAACTGTCTTTTCTCATGACAATATATCCATATTTTCCAGTAATGTTATGCTTGAAGTTGCATTTAAGGGCAAAAAAAACCCCATAGTTTTAATATGATACTGAGAATTTTTGTTAGTATAATTGGAATCTTATATGTCTAAAGAAAGCAGAAAAAGAAAGAAAAATAATTAACAGTAATATTTTTTTAATGCACTTTTCATATCCTATGTCTTGCTGTTATGCCCACTCTTTCACTGTTTCTTTAGTTTCTAAAATATATGGTTTCAGCCAGGGGTGTCAGGGTAGGGCTTACAGTGATGCAAATCCTTCTCTAAAAAAAAGTGTAAGTGAAAGTACTAGAAGGTTACTGTTAAGTCTCCTCAAAACCTTCTTTTCTTCAGACTGAGAAGTCCCTGCTCAGCCCTTCCTGATAGATTATGTGTTCAAACTCCTGATGATCTTTATGGTCTTCCATTGGACTTCCAAGATTTTAATTTTTTTTGACAGGGGTGGGAGCTGGAGTTAGATATAGTATTCCAGCTGCAGTCCAGGAAGTATCAAGTAAAGGAGAAGAAACTTCCCTTGATCTACTGGCTGTGTTCTTGTTGATATGCTCCAAAATGCTAGCGCCAATGTCGTATGCTCAGCCTCCTCTTTCGCAGGACCCCAAAGTACTTTTCAGTAGAGATGCTCCCTAGCCAGTTCTTATCTAGCAGGAAGTCACTGGCTCAGGCTCATAAATGTGCATTTGTCTTAATTGAACCTTATGATGTTCAAGTTGGCCCATTCCTTCGCCCCGTCTAGGGTCCTCTGCTCACAAGCTTATTGACTGCATACAACCAGTTTGGTGTCATCTGTATGAAAGGAAGCCAAATTCTCTGGCCTTCATGAGGCAAGGGGGGTTGTCTATTTTCTGGCATATTATAATAAATTTGGGTACACTCTTAGACCCCAGGGATTCCTTCCATCCCATCCTATCACATTCCAAACTGGCAGATGCACTGTCACTGCAGCTCCCTGTCTCCAGGCTCAGACACTAGCAGATACACATACACACTCACAACCACTGTCACATCCACAGGCCTCTTGAATACTAGTGTGGACTTCAAGGTGTGAATTTAAGGCACCTTATCTAGTCACTGTCTCAGACTTTGGGTCTTTCCAGATTCTGGTCTCCTTCTACTAGTTAACTAGTCTGACTTGAAGTTGCTGACAAAGTTCACTCACAGCCACACACAATAGCTTGTGATGTCACACAGAAAACAGAAATAGAGTCTAATGAGAAGACAGAACAAATCAGGCATAGGGTTTAGTCAGAGCCTGCTTGCATACAATCAAATATTTTCTCCCTTCTTTCCATTTTCCCATGCTTGTTCTTCCCCCATTTACCTTGATCCCTTGATTTCTATACCTCTGTGTCTCTTCAGATAGATAACCCTCTTCTGACTACTTTTTCTTCATTAGCTTCATCTTTCCTACACCCATATGCAAGTTTGGTATTTCTGATATTATTTGCTGATTTTGATATGCTTTACATTATATGACTGATAGATTTACCCAGGTGCTGTTGGGCTTGCATGAAAAGTCCCCAGTGTTCCCTTCCAACTTCTTGTGAAGCTCAGCTATCTCTCACATAAAACCCCTTTAGCCAGCTGTGAAATCTGCCTCTTGACACCACCTGTAGCTTACATCAACTTCTCACATCATTATCTATTATGTCCAACAATTGTCCATGCCATGGTCAGTAGTTTCTCAGGGTCTGTTCAGTTAGCTAAGACAAGGGCCTGGCCATCTCCCTTGCATGCTTTATCAGTCTGCAAACTTGATGAAGGTAACCTCTGTTTCTTCCAAACTGCTGGTTAATTACTACTTTTTGAGTCCCATGACCCAGACAGATTTTCACCCATGTCTTAATTCACTCATCAAGAACATTTGAACTTGGAATACAAGGAACTTATTGGAGACTATCAAAAGCCTTGCATCAATCAATATAAACAGCATCCACTGCTCCTACTTCATCTACAAATCCAATCATTTCATCATAGAAAACAATCAAGTTAACAAGGCATGATTTAGCCTTGATAATGCCATGCTCAACTGTTAAAAGAGCAAGACTATCCTCTCTTATATGCCCATAAATAAGCTTCAAGAGAGTTCCATCCATGATTTTCCCAATGAAGAAAGTGAGGTTGATCTGTCTGTAGCTCCCTGAATAAACTATTTGGCCTTCTCTAAAGATGGATACAACATTTGCCTTTCACCATCTGTCAATGACATTGTTTGATTTCCACAGTCTTTGGAAGAGAATACAGAGTGGCTTTTCAGTAGTATCAATCAGCTTTCTTGGCATTCTTGGACCCATCCCTTCACATCCCATTGGTCAAGCTTTCTCAAGAGATGGATGACTCTTCTCCTTGAATCTTGTCTCTAGGCACAAAGATCTGGGACACCATCTCAGTGAAGACTGAGGCAAAGAATGCAGTAGGCACTTCAGTTTTACCTGCCCTGCTGTCATTACAGCACTTGCTCCATTCAGCAGTGAGCCCACATTCTCTTTGTTTTTTAGTTTTACTGCTCATGTAGCAGTAGAAGCTCTTCTTGCTCCCCTCAATGTCCATTGCCAATTTCAACTCTAGTTGAGCTTTAGATTTCTTAAACACTGTGCCTGTATGCCCAAGTAATGTTTATAATGTAGATAGTCATTGATGTATGATGCAAGGAAAGCTCTGAAGATCCTTTGCAGTCTTCTGGGATTATAGTCTCATAATTGTATTTTACAGTGTGCAGTACAGAACGAGAAACATCCATAATGGTGACAGGCAGATTAGACAGCATGTCTTCTTTCTTGTGCCTCTTAATTTCTGCCATCCTGGGCAGTGCTGGCAGCAATATAGTACTTCTTTCTCTCCCTTTCATGTCCTTTAATTTATCCCAAGTTAGAGGATAGGTTATCTTGAGAGTGAAATTGTGAATCGATTCTACTACCAGGAAGGACATAGGACAAAGGCTCATAATCATGGTTTCCCTCCTGTAATATTGGTAATGGCATTAAACAAAAGGCAAGACAAATCTAAACTCACAAATTGTTTTAAATCTTAATTATAAAATTAACTATTTTAAATCTTACTTCATTTAATTTCAAAAACAGATTCCAAGTTGAACTGCAATTATTTTTCCTTTTTAAATTTCTGATCCACTTCATGAATGAATTCATTTTCCATCTCAAAGCCTTGAAGAAAACTATTCTTAAAAGGGAAAGTGGAAACTAGTCAAAGGATTTTTGTTCTTAGGAACAAAAAAGAATTTTACTGGTAGTTTATTCTAATAGAAAAGTTCAAGTAAGGAAAATACAACACATCAAAAAGAAAGACATACAGGTAGTAGTGGTTTTTGAAAAATGTTTTAAGCAGGGAATGCTTTCATTCCCGGAGAAGGTTTTGCAACCAACTAGTAAGACCTGTTTCTCTCAACCAGTTAAATTTCATATAGCTTTGAAGATGCATACTTTTCAAAGACCTTGACTTTGAAAGAAACTGAGAAAAATGAAGCACACTATAACTGTTGTCAGATGGTTCTCACTTTTCCCTAGATAACTCAAGTCCTTATCTGTGTGCATCAATCCATAATTTATTCTGGTAACTTCTTTAGTAAGAACATTTTAACGGATGGGCATGAATGCCTGAATATCTGTACTATATTGGATTTCTTGCTAACATACAAAAAAAGAAATAATAAACATAAGTAAGAAAGAGACTTGAAATCATAGGTAAAATAAGAATACACAATCTGAAACATAGCTGTCAAAATGTCCACTCAGGAGCATGACCTAGTAAAGGTCTGAACAAGATGGATTTAACAGAAGTCAAGTCTCAGGGCAGTGGCTGGTGTGCAGATGCAGAGAAAAAGCCCTCATTTTATAGCTGTAACACCTTCTTCAGAGGTAAGCATGTCATGTCTTTAATGTTACAGCATTTGCCATGAGGAACCTTTTCTGATTCATAGAACTGACAGGGTAATCTTGCATTCACTTTACAGAAAAAGTGTAAGACTTCTTTATGCACAATTTTCCTTTCAGTTCAAAGAGCAACCACCAGAAAGAACAAAAAGGCACCTCAAAGAAGCCTCCATCTAAATTTTCCTGGCTATTTTGTGCTAAAATCGAGTATTACATCTACACTGTAGTTGTATAACTGCATTCTTTCGATCCTGTTCTCAGAGTTAGTGCTTTGTCCAACTTTGGCTGCATTTACACATACCATGTCTTCTGTGAAATCACTGAAAACAGAAAAACTATAATAACCATATATTACCCATGAAATCATACCATAACTTTTTTCCTTGTGTTTTGATAGCACCTCACTGTTGGGCCATGTTACATTTAAATTGCACTTTTCCAGGTTTTGAGCTGATCTAGTTACATACATGACACATCATTGCTGCTCAGTATTGCATTATAATTTATGATGCCTCATTAATGAATAAACAGATCTTTACAAGTAGATGATGAAAGCCATAGGTGACTTCTCATCTGAAGTCTCTGAAACCCTATTTCAGGGAATATAACAGTAGTATCATTAATTTCCATTGCTTAATCACTCTTGCACTTACTTAGTCTGGGGAATAAGAATATTGTTAAAGATAAAGAATGAACAAATGGATGAGTGCTCATCATAAACAGAATAATATTTTAATTTCTTCTATATTTTGGTGATAGTATGGTACTGAAGTGATGCAATAGGAACACCTTGTTTGTCATCATCTAAAAATAAGACTTTCATATATCAATTTTCCTTTGTTTCCTAAAAAATATAGATTTTATACTAGATCTATCTTTTAATCCATTTAATTTTTATTTTTTTTTTTATTTCCAAGTATCACAAAGGAATCTGTGGTGGGGTAGCTGCTAGAAAAAAACACATTCCTCAGTGACATATCTTGTTAATGAAACAAGGTAGGAATAGCAGATGGGTCACAGAAGCATAGAATCATAGAAAGGTTTGGGTTGGAAAGGATCTTTAAAGACCATCTAGTTCCAACCCCCCTGCCACGGGTAGAGTCACCTTCCACTATATCAGGTTGCTCCAAGCCCCGTCCAACCTGGCCTTGAACCCTTCCAGGGAGGGGACATCCACAGCTTCTCTGGGTAACCTGTGCCGGTGTCTCACCACCCGCACAGGGAAGAACTTCTTCTTTATATATAATCTAAATCTACATTCTTTCAGTTTAAAACCATTACCTCTCATCCTGTCCCTACACTCCCTGATAAGGAGTCCCTCCTCATCTTTCCTGTAGGCCCCTTTAAGGTCTATAGTCTGCTATAAATTATTCCCAGAGCCTTCTCTTCTCCAGGCTGAACAACCCCAACTCTCTCAGCCTGTCCTCAGGAGAGGTGCCCCAGCCCCCTGATCATCTTCCTGGCCTTCTCTGGACCCACTCCAACAGGTACATGTCATTCTTACACTGGGATCCCCAGAACTGGACACAGTACTGCATGTAGGGTCTCATGAGAGTGGAGGAGATGGGGAGAATCACTGACGTGCGGAAAGATGACTTTACAATCAGTGAGGTTATAAAGTAGGTATGTTTATTCAGCACTGGATGCACGGGGGATCGCTCTGCCACAGCGTGCGTGCCCTGGAGCCAAAAGCGGCCCCCTTTTATGATCCCAAAGTTACATATTCATCAGTCCTAATACATATGCATTATAATTCTGGGAATAGGGAGGGAATATTAAAATTAATTCTGAGAAATCATTAACATATCCCCCGCCCCAAGTCCCTCCCCATCGCACCTGCACAATGTCTCTTGGTGGTCGTGGGCAGGGGTCTTCTGATGAAGGCTCTTAGTCTTCTTCACTGTGTTCACTCGTTGACCCTTGCTTTTGCACAGACTCAGTTCTGTAGTTACACACATCTCGTCCTTCAGGCCTTGTTGGATGTGGTTTGTTGCTAACTTGCAGCTCCTTTATCTTGGTGGCTCAGTAGTTCCTTCTTTATCTCAAGGACGATGGTGGGCTCATCCTGTTTTTCTCTCATTCATTCGCAAGGGAGTTATCTAGTTAATGTTTTCTTGAGAGACCATCTGGTTAGCATCTCTCCATTCATATATCATCACCTCCCTCAACCCTCTAACCACATATCTCTTGATGTAGTCCAGGATGCAGTTGGCTTTCTGATCTGTGAGTGCAAATTGCTGGCTCATAGTCAGTTTTCCATCCACTAATACACCCAAGACTTTCTCAGCACAGCTGCTCTCAATCTGCTCATCGCCCAGCCTGGATTTTTGTTTAGAATTGTGGTGACCCATGGGCAGGACCTTGCACTTGGCCTCGTTGAACTTCATAAGGTTTGCACAGGTCCACCTCTCCAGCCTGTCCAGGAACCTCTGGAAGGCATCCTTTCCTTCCAGTATGTCACACATCTTGGTGTCATCAGTGAACTTGCTGAGGGTTCACTCAGTGCCACTGTCCATGACACCAACAAAGATGTTAAACAGCACCAGTCCCAACACCGGCCACTAGGAACACCACTCGTCACTGCTCTCTACTTGGACATCAAGCCAACGACCTAAACTCTTTGAGTGTGACCATCCAGCCAATTCCTTACCCACCAATTGACTCATCCATCAATTCCATGTCTTTTCAACTTAGAAACAAGGATGTCATGAGGGGCAGTGTCAAAAACTTTGCACAAATCCAGGTAGATGACATCTGTTGCTCTTCCCTTACCCACCAATGCTCTAACCATGTTGTAGAAGGCCACCAACTTCAACAGGCATGATTTGTCCTTAGTGAAGCCATGTTGGCTGTCACCAATCACCTCCTTATTTTCCATGTGCCCCAGAATAGTTTCCAGGAGGATCTACTCCATGATCTTGCCAGGCACAGATATGAGACTGACTGGCCCGTGGTTCCCTAGATAGTATCTTATATTCTAAATTTTATATTATTTGATACTCATATGCTTCACATTCACACAAATCAAGGTCTCTGTCCCTCCAGTCCAGTTTAGATATATACCATGATGCAGGGAAACAGGACAGTCACTCTAACCACTCAGTGTGTCTGATCCCTGGATGGTGGTTCAGCCCTTAACCTATGGTTCTCTCTTTATGTCAGCATTTGACAGACTGTATGGAGTTACACCTCCAGGAGTTAATGTTAGCTATTAATATATTTTTTAAATGAGATTGTCAGCATAAATATCCAGCAGCCGTGACAGTCATGTAGCCTCTCCTTCTGACTTTCCCCCTATCAAAAACCATTTAACTTTTGTTACCTGGGTACTATTGTTTTCCGACCTCTCAGACCAATTGTTTCACTAGGATGTCTAGGCACAGGAGGGCAGAGGATTCTGAGCTACTTACATGAGCAGTACTCAGTCCACAATGGCAGTGTACAATCTGATGGTTTTGGTATTGGATTGAATTTCACTATGCATACACCTGCATGCATCTTGTGTTATTTTCAGCGGGCAATAGGCACCGTGTTCTCTTCATATTTTCTCTTAATTCTAACAGTCTTCAGTATAAAATATAAACTTCAATAGCAAATGATCTATTTCAAATTTAAAATCATTCATTCCTAAGTTTAATCCTTAGATAGAGGAAAGTAATTTATAAAGAAGATCATTCTCCATCTTGATGGTGTCAAGTCTTTAGGCTCCTGTGAGGAAGTTAGTCCCACAGGTACTGTAGGTATAGCATTTTCTAATTGCAGAGATATTGAGATAAAATCTTTAAAATGCAAAACAGTGTTCCTCTCTTCTTCGCTCTCCACTGAATGCAAGAAATAGAGTCAACACAGTGTCACAGCTTAAGTTATATTAACAATCTCTATAAAGTGAAATTATAAATTACTGATATTAACTAAATTAACTCCTTTTAAAAATTAAAGTCTTCAAATTATTATTTTTTTAAAAATCTTTTGTTACACAGTAGAAGGCATGTATTTATAATTATATAACTAAAGATCTAAAAGTATAAAGGGCACTTGTATTCATCAAGTGACAGTAATTGAACAATCACTAGACCACATGTAGGAATATATCTTGCAGGAATATATCTTTCAAAGCAAGAGGCAAAAATACTTGTTTTCTGACTGTGATATGCATAAATGGATAGAGAGGTACTTGAGAGAGCAATCTGCAATATAGTTTCATGTCTGAGCCTGACACTTGATGCCCAGCTGCTTATTGTTTGTAGCAGCAGGAACAATTTATCATTGGTTGATATAACTGAATGGCAGAACACACTTTTGTAAGGCATTTTCTTGCCCACAGTTTCTTACCACAGTTTGAATCAGCCTTAAATCCACAGTAAGTCAATTCACTGATTTTTTGCTGGATCAAGCTGCTTCAAGAATCTGATAGATCACAGCAGGCAGGTTTTGTCTATGCTCACTAAATCTTATGTTAGAACATTAAAGCAAAAACCAAGCTTCTTTATTATATAGTGAAAAGTCAACTCATCTTTTCCCAATCTCATGTGCTTCTAAAGTGTCTTAAGAGAGGTTATCGTTTCTAAAGAACAGATTGTTACCTTTATTTAAAAAATTTTAAGTAAAATCTAACTTTGACATGGATGGCAGTTCCAGCAATTCTCTTTGTCATCCAGCAATACATTAAACACACTGTAACCAAGATCGATGTATTCCTTAGAAAAATAAATAATATTAAGGTAACTGAATTTAAGACTATTTAGATCTGCCAAACTGGTATTAGAATGGCTCAAAAATTTCCTTAAAACATACTTGCTAGCAGTTCCAACATGTATTTTTAATAATAACTCAGCCAGAACCATGTTAAAAGCAAACAAACAAACAAGAAAAAGCCAACAAAACCCCCAGTACTAAAAGCACACATGTAATATTCAAGCTTTCTACAATTACATTACATACAGTAATTAAAAGCCTGTAAAGGTATTTATGCTTCTGAAACTGCTGAAGAATATCTCATACCCTTTTCTGAAGTGCTAGGCTGTACTTTCAGAAGAATTTCAGTAGAAGCTTGTCATATCTACGTCTCTTTAATAGTCTAAAAACCTTAGTATTTCTAAAATGAAATTGAAAATGAACTCGTTTTCTAAATCACTTGAGCCTTTGGAGAAGAAGTCTGTAGGCAACATAACAATTTGATACAGCTAAATCTCCATGTTGGTAAATGAAGGAAATTCAGGTAATATTAGCAACTTAGACTGTTCTGCATTGTGGTAAAGACTAGCAGGTTTTTTGTTGTTGGTTTTTTTTTTTTGATTGGTTGGTTGGTTTTCTGTTTTTTGTTTTTTTACAAAATGTATTTGAATTCCTGGGAACTGATGAAACTAGAAAGTCATTATAGTTCTGTACCTCTGCAGCTGCCTACTGCCATCTTGTGTACTCCTGATGTCATTTGAATGGACAAGTCTTATAACCAAGAAGGTCTAGTAAAAAGTATAAAGTATACTTAGGATTTAATGGATAAAGGCAGTGTACATATCTAGACAAGGATATTGTAAGTGACAAATTTGGAAAAGGCCTCTATCATTTAATCTCTACTTAAAATTTGATTTTTACATTTGTAGTGGTATCAGACTTTCCAGCTTGAAACTTTTCGACCATTTTTTTGCTTTTTCTTTTCTTCTCAAGCTAGGAAATTCTGACAAATGCAAATCTTACTATTACTGGTTGTTCAAGTTCCAGCTGTTTCTTAAATTCCTGTCCTCCCCATGTAGAAGACAGAATTCTTGCTGAACTGAAACATAATGGCAGACATTTTTTTTTTTTTTTTTTTGAGGGGGGTAGGGGGGGTGGGAACAACACAATCTGAAAAACTATGGATATGGACAAGCCTGAGCATTTCTGTTAGCATGTAACTTAATTGTCTTTCCTGTATAAATGTGAGAATGGAGGCAACTGTATTTTTAAACAAGGTGTTCAACTTGGTGTCTTCCAGGATCACCACATCCTTCTCTTTAAAGCTGCTTCCCAACCGGTCAACCTCCAGCCTTTAACTGGTATATGGGTTTATTCCTCTACAGGGACAGAACTCACTTTTGTTGAGCTTCAAGAAGTTCCTCCCCCCCATTTCTCCAGACTGTTGAGGCCCTTCTGTTGTATCAGCCACTCCTCTGAGTTTTTTATCATCAGCAAACATACTAAGAATGTCCTCTGCTGCATAAGTCATTAACAAAGTCACTAGGTAGTAATAGACACAGTATCAAGCCCTGAGGCACACTTCCTGTGACTGACCTCCAGCTGAAGGTTGTGCTGCTAAACACAACCCCTTCAGTCCAGCAGTTCAGCCAGTTTTCAATACACATTGATGACTATTTATCTAGTCTGTAGTTCATCAACTTGTGGTAAACGGTGCTAAAAGCCTTACTAATGCCAAGATAAAAAATATGCACAGCACTCACTTCATTCACAGAGCCAGCCATCTCATTGTAGAAGGTTATCATTTTGGCCAGACATCATTTTTCCTTCATAAATCTATGCTGATTATTTTTAATCACATTTTTGTACTTCTTATGCTTGGGAATTATTTTCAGGTTTATTTACTCTTTCTTCCAAGCAGGTCCCTCAGCAGGACAAATTCTGATCTCCTGAAGTCCAGGGCTGTGATCCCACTTTTTCCCTCTTTCCTGCTCCCAAGATCCTGTCCTCCACGATCTCATGGTCACTCCAGGCAAAACTGTCACTCAGCTTCACATCTCATATCAACTCTTCCTTATTTATAAGATCCCCCCCAAAGCATTTCAATTCATTGGCTCCTTGATCACTTGTGTCAGGAAGCTGAAACAATACAATCCATAAACTTCCTGAATTGCTTGTGGCCAACCACTACAGCAGGTATCATGGTAGTTTAAGTCCTTAAAGACTTATAGCCCCTTGAAGACCAGAGCTGCCAATGTGTGGCTTCTTCCAGTTGTTTTCTTCTTCTTCTACTACTACTACTACTTCTAGTAGACATCTCCTAAATCATCACCCATGCTGAACTGCCTGCTAATGCTGACTCATAAGTACTCAGCTGTCTCATCAGCTTAACAGGCAGAGCTCCATGACTCCTTGTTGCTCTCTCAGAAAAAGTGTAATGGCCCCTCCTTGCTTTCCTGGCCTGTTAGTTCAAACAGCCTGTATTTATCCACTGCAGCACACCAGATCTGTGAGGTATCCCACCGTTTCTCAGTGATCCTAGTGAGAACACAACTCTGCAGCTGCACATGTATCCTGTTTGTTCTCCATGTCATTTGCATTAG